TAGATAGATAGATAGATAGATAGATAGATAGATAGATAGATAGATAGATAGATAGATAGATAGATAGATAGATAGATAGATAGATAGATAGATAGATAGATAGATAGATAGATAGATAGAAAGATATATAAAATAGATAGATCGATAGAACAATAAATAGTTATAAATATATGATGTTATTGACAATGTTTTACCTGGCTTCTCCAAAAGTGTAACAATCTTAAAATGCTTGTTTTTCTGTGCCAGCTGTAAAGCTGTCATGCCGTTTTTATTTTCTATGTTTATATCTTCTCCATTTTCAAACAAAAATTTTGTAACATTTATATGTCCATTTTCTGCTGCTATCATTAGAGCTGTATTCCCATCTTCGTCTTTTATATTTTTCAAAAAATCATTTGCTTGGTATAGATATTTTAACGTGGGAACCGTGTTTGTCTTTGCTGCTTTAAAAAAATCTTGTTCAATGATGTTTTCTTCTTTGAAGGGTATCTGTGGATTAATGTGATGCTCATTTTTTAAAATAAAATGTAATATGAGTGTAATTAAGATCTATTTTAATAATGTAAAATCCGTTTTTGTGACATTATTATGTAGAAACATATGCGGAGAACATGAATTATCACTTTAACAATGTCTACTATATGATATGAAGTTTTTTCTCGATTCTGAATTTGGAAAATATATATTTTAGTAAATCAAAGTACATGAAAATTTAAGGACATATGAAAAACGCTTAACAAAAGTGCAAATCAAAACATGTTAAAATACACTTTTTTAAAGAGTATTATCACTTTTTAATTTTAATTAAGAACCTATGTTAGTTTTCAAAAAATTTACAATAGCAAAAAAAGTATAAAAAATTGCTGTTTTGAAGAAAAAAAGTATTTTGTATGGCTAAATAAAACAGTTAATATTTTTTAATAAAGCTCATATACAGTAAATGGTATAAATAGAAGAAATAAGTCATTTACAAAAGACGTCAAATAAATATTAATACGTGAATTAAAGAGGGTAAAAGAGACAGCAAGAAGTTCAAAACTAATGCAATAACTTTTAAAATTTTAATTGGAATTTTAAGGTATTATAATTTTCTTTCTTTAAATTATTAAAAATTATACCTCTGTTGCCTTTTTGTAAGAGTCTTTTATTTACTTCTCCCCCATCAAGAAAATAATTAATACTTATATTTTTAAAAAAATGATAATTAATCAAAAGAAAGTTTTTTCTAAAGCTAGTATCAACAAAATGAAATTATCTGAAAATCGAAAATCTTGCTTAAATGAGCTGGAGAAACGGTCTTCCTTCTTTAATTTTAAAAATAAGATGCCAAAATTAGTTCAATGCACATGTATATTATTGGCAGAGTAGTGTCCTGTAAATCTTTAGGCGCTCAAAAGGCGTAATGTTCCCTAGAGGTGTGATGTTCTTTATAGGTGATATGCCCCAGAGGCGTGAGACCTCCTAGAGACATATGGCCCAAAAAACATGAAGCCTGCTTAGAGGCGTGGGAGCATAAAAAAGTTGGTAGTGCCCAACGGAAATACTTTTCTACACTAATTTCTCTACTGACTACGGGCCAGTGGCGTTGCTAAGGTTAGTACCGCCCATGGAGTAACAACGTATTGTTATCACTGTTGTGAACTAAATTGTTGTGAATGTAGGGTAGGTGGAGTTGTTGATCGTGAGAGTGTTTAGTGAGTTTTTGATTGTGAGGTAAGCGCGTGAAGTTACTTCATGGTATTGACTTAGTGCATGCCGAGTTTTTGGTGTGGTGATATACAATGGATGTGTGATAGTTAATTATGAGCTGAGCCGAGAGTAAGAGTAGAAAGAGAGATACACGTTGAATCTTGGGAGTTGAGCTGATGTGTGCGAGTCCAGATTAGATGAGAGATAGTAGTATCTCCATTGAACGTCGTCGTTGTGAATTGTTATTGGATTCTGTAAACAAAGTACTGCTATATTTTCATCCTGGAGTTGTGATATATAT